AATAATAACAACCAAACTCAGACTCGTACAGACTCTGTAAGACAGGGGAGAAGTGTCCCTGTGGGCTCCCCAGACTGCAACTCATTACTGGAGTAGAAAGTGCCACCTTTCTCCTGCAGAGCGGCTGGTGGTTTTGAACTGCAGACTTTGCAGTTAGCAGTCCGATGCGTAACCTCTACACCACTAGAGCTTTTAAAAACATTAACGCATGGGAGATGCATATGACACCCGCGGAGATGAGCGATGTGGCAAACGGTATACGCTTCTGCCGGCAGTTACCCTAAGACGGCATCGAGTTGGTGAAACTGCATCACCGCATTTAACATATAAGTGGTGGGGGGGGGGTTATGATCAGGTTGCGGTGATAACATTGCTGGTTCATTGGCAATATCGTGTCCCTTTCACATACACATGACCTTGTCTGTATGCCTCACTAGTCTCTAAACCCCATCTAAAGCATGCTTCTTGGTTTTGTTTTTTAAAATTGGCTTCTCCTAGGCTTTGTGCATTGAACCAAAGCCCTGTGTAAATAAAGATGCATAGAGGATTGAACCGGAGGGGAGGCTGGGAGCTCCTGTGGATTCTTGAGTGAGCAAACAAACTGGAATAGGGTCGGGGTGTGTGTGTGTGTGTGTGTGTGAGACAAATTCCACTGAACTCACTGCTGGCAAGTTGATTCTGACCCATGGTGACCCTAAGGGAGAGTGGAACTGCTCCACGGGGTTTTCCAAGACTGAAGTCACAGAAGCAGAGGTCACGTGTTCCTTCCATGGCTCAGTGAGAGGTTTGAGCCGCGAAGGCCTTGACTACTGCCCTGGTAGGGGTCCTGGCATGCGGGAAGAGCGATACAAAGGCCTGTTGGCGCTGGGATTCAAAGATTCATTGAAAAGGCCACACAGAACTCACAGATCAGATGGATGGTTATGGGGTTTACGAGGGAAGTAACTAGTTATGACTCTGGATCAGAAATTACTCAGGGGGAAAAAAAATTACTTAGGATATAGTAGCCCCTTTTAATTACGCCTCTCCCTGACCCTCAGCACCACAAACCCTTCAGCCTCTTGGGCCAGCCTGGCCCTTGTCCTGCTTGGGCAACTGCCAGCGTCCCTGGAAGGACTCTCGTCAGCAAGCTTGCTGCCCAAAGGCACTTCAGTTTCCAGCTCCCTGCCAGCCTCCTGGTTCTGCTGTCTGACCATTGCTGGCGCTACAAGTCTGCTCCGGTCCTGTTTTCCAGCACGGAGACACCTGGATGCACACCGCTCCCATCTCTTCTTGGTGGCAGTCAGTTCTCTCGGTTGTCTCTGGTCCATGCATTTCATTCCATTTGCATTGTTAGCTGTGGGGGGAGGTCAGATGCACAGGCATTCCCCCACTGAGGGCAATCAGTTGCCAGACTGCTGTCTCATCCCACCACAGGGGTGGGCCTGCTCCCTGCTTCTGGGGACAATGGACAGGCTCCTGCAGGCGGAGTTTTCACCCTACTGATAATGGTTTCTAGGGAGACCCAGAGACCACCCCCTAGACCACCCCCTCATTACTGTGTAACCTATAGTGTAACCCCTCCCTGTGACATGTCTCTACCTGTAATTAGTGGGCTGGCATGTCCTCAAAAGGTATATAGGCGTGGGTCAACAATATAGAGCTCTCTTACTCTCTGACCCCTCGCTCTGACTTCTCCCTCTCTGGATCCCCTCTCTTCCCCATCTCCTCTCCAGTCCTCTCTCCCTTGTCCCCTTGCCCTCCTTCTCTTCCCCCTCTCTCCACGAGGACCACCAAGCTGGGCTGAGGTGAGCAATGCTACCATGTAATGTGTCTGACTGCATCATTTGTGATATCTTTCATGCTCTCGATGACTTTAATATAATACTTATATATCTCAACTGTACAATTGTGCATTACTGAACCCGTGGGTAGTAGTAGCAGCGGGTGGGGGCTGGCCTTCACCCCACCCCTTCAAATTTAATACTACAATTAGCAAATTATTCAATCCTCCTGGTGGTCCACGGGAAACTTATTTGCATCGTCACACCTAATCATTTGGTGGGTGTCATAAGATCATTGTTAGGAAAGCCACATAAATGCATGTACATAATGCTTTAAAGGCTTTAAAAAAAAAAAGTGTATGAGTTTCTCTTCTATCTTTCTACAAAGTTTCTGTAATAAACATGAACTTGTTACATAATGTAAAGTAAGCTAACCACAAAGTTGGCAGTTCCAACTCACCAGCCACTCTGTGGAAGAAAGAGGCTCCTGTAAAGATTTGCAGCCTTGGAAACAAACAGGGTCACTATGAATTGGAATTGACTCAATGGTAGAAGGTCTTGTACGCAACAAAGGCGGATCATCAATACCCTGTAATAAAGACCAGTCAAGGAAACCAAGACAAAATATTTAACCAGAACCCCACACTGACCACACACTATTTTAAAAATGGTTTTCCGTAGTTCATGTCTTTGATGTACCTCTGCACACTTGTGTCAACACTGTAATGGTCAAGACTGGTGCACAGAAAAAGCACAAGGCATCTTGATTGCATGTTTAACCGAGTGCTGAAGTCTGTAAAAGATAATCTTCAATTTCTTCATCTTTGGCATAGTGGTTGGAACATAAATTTCAATAAAGTCGCATTAACTGGTTTTCCTCTTCAACTTGTCATTTGTAGACCATGATAGTTCAACTCGAAATGACCAATACTAGTCAATTTCAACTCACTCGTGCCTAGCATCTCTCTCTATCTCTTTTTAAAAAATGATTTTATTGGGGGCTTGTACAGCTCTCATAATCCAAACATCAATCCATTGTGTCAAGCACTTTTGTGCATTTGTTGCCATCATCATTTTCAAAACATTTTCTTTCTAGTTGAACCCTTGGTATTGTCAGCCGGGAGCTGGTGAAAACACTTCAAGGACCCTGGGAAAGACCAGGCCTCCCCCTCCCCTTCAGTGGCCTTCCAGCCCAAGTGTAGAAGGCTAACCATTGCAGGTTAACTTTGAACATTGTTGCTTAGCCCAGGATCTGCAGATAACAAAGTTGCGGTGGAAAAATCCCCCAGCTACTTCCTCCCCTAGACCTGGGCTATAAACACCTCACCTCCCTCCCAGATGATGGTGCCACTTCTCCGGCCCCCAGATAGGGACCTGTGAACCTTGCCCTGGAACTCAGAATGCTCCTGTCCCTCTCTCTATACGCTCCTCCCTCCCAGGCCATGTGACTTCTCTGGCTGCAATTAGGGACCTGTGAACCTCGCCCAGGAGCTCTCAAATAAACCTTTGAAACAGTTTTTTGCCTCCTTTCTTTTTTTTTCCATCACCAAATCCACCTTACAGGTATCAGCTTCTCGTGTGTGTGTGTGTGTGTGT